GGGGATTGTTGTTGAGATTTCCTCAATGTTTTGATTTTATACTTGAACTCAGTCATGTTATTTTCCACTATTTTCAAAACTCAGCCAAGTTTATTTTGCTTTAACACTTGAAATGATATTTCAAATAATATTTTGGGCTGAGCATGTGGCTTATGTGATTTTTGACTGAGTAAGGTCGAGGGCCTGTATTGTGAGGATACTTTTGGATCGGGTTGCACGCCGCAGCAGTGAGATACTGATTTGATTATGAGGTCGAGGGCCTGAGATATGTACGCCACGAGGTGGTTTGTTGATTGATATTAGGCCGAGGGCCTAGATTTGATGCCACTAGATGGCTTGATATTGCGCTTGGGCCGTAAGGGGCTCCTTCGGAGTCTGTACACCCCCAATGAGCGCGGGTACCCATTGTGATGTGAGATTGAGCCCGAGGAGCTGGTATTGTTCTGAGACTGAGCCCGAGGGGCTGGTACTGTTCTGGGACATTGCCCGAGGGGCGGATTTGATGACATTGTGCCCGAGGGGTGAACCTTATGTGCTTATCTTTTCTTATTTGTCTATCATTTACCTGTTTAAATTGTGTATTTGTGCCCGAGGGGCGGATTTCTTTGCTTATCAGCACTAATTGTTTTGCATTCATTTGCATAACTGTTGTAAAAGTCATTTTCAAAGAAGTTTCAAATTGAGCTAAGATGTTTTAAGAGATTTTACAGCTTCACTGCTTTCTTACTGGATTTGAACTGCTTCTATATAGCATCCTGATATGCTTTACGTGATTTCTTACCATTCAGACTTTAGTTATGATTATTACTCACTGAGTTGAAGTACTCACTTTACTCCCTGCACCTTGTGTGCAGATTCAGGTATTTCTGAACCCGGTAGCGGGTATTGGCTGGTAAGAGGCAGAATCATCGGAGTTTAGCAGGGTAGTTGCCGACGTTCGCAACACCGCTTTTCTCTCTCTTCCTTTCATTAGTCTGTATTTGTACACTTCAGACTTTCAGTTGTATTTATACCCTAGTAGATGCTCGTGACTTGTGACACTCCGTTTAGGGTTGTGTCGGGTTGGAATTTCCGCATTGTTATCGATATTTTCGCTATTCAATATTGTTAAATCATGTTTAGACTATTTTTATGTTGATTAACTGCTTTAAAAGTTGAGTTGGGTTGAACTGGCTGGCCTTGTCTTCACGAGAGGCGCCATCACGATCGGGTTCGGGGTTAGGGTCGTGACAAAAACTCCTGTGTTCTCAGCTTTTAAATTCCTTGCAATTTATTTTCATCGTCAATCAAACCTGCTGATAAAGTGAAGTCGACTAATTCTTTTATATGTCGATTAAGTCTTTAAATTAGTTACATTCATCCCCTCTTGTACTTTCAGCAATAACTTAAAATACCTTATGTCGTGGTCTAACATTTAGTCTTAAAAACTTTAATTTGCTCAAAAAGGATTTTTAAACCATGGTCTGAGTTGCAAGAAAAATAAAAGATTATCATTTACTAACAACTGATACAAAAAGGGATAATTGGCGAAATTTTCACCAACTCGTTTAGTTGCAGCCCAACCAGTCAGTTGTACGCGCGAACCTAATCGTCCTTGTCCAGATTCATATCCAAATTTTTGTGCTAACAGTTACAGAATTTAAATTCTAATAAGCAACTCAACTTGTCTCATGGCTTACCAAAAATAGAAGTAATTAAAAGTTGATGACATATATAAAGAAATGAAACACTTAAATATCATTCGAAAGGTAAAACGACAGATGTTGTAGCACTAGCAATATGGCACCAAACATTTGTCGTCTAAACTAGTCAGATTACTCTTTCTTACATTGTCTAATGCATCCATTTTCCCTCCCCTTTTCCTATTTTTGGCAAGAAATAGAATCATTTAGGACTAATTCATTTGAGAATAATGCACATTATGTTATACAAAACATCGCATTGATTGATTTAGCAGCTGTAATGAGGAAAATGATGCCATTTGAGAAGAATGCAGCGCCGCAGAAGCTGCAGTCATACGTCTAGAAAGAGGAATAGTGGCCCTTTTACCAGAAATAGCAAAGTTATGAAACGTGTCAATTTTAGAGAATAAAGCAAAAAAGATTGAGGAATTGAGAATGAAAGTGGGGATCAAGAATATAGGGAAAGCTTTACTTTGCTGAGAAATACTACCACTTTTGTAATTGTGGCCTCCCCAAAAACTAAAAGACGTGGCATCACAGGGGAGAATTGCTAATTCTATACTAAAAAGAGAAGAATGGAGACCCCATCTGCTATTTCTGCTACTGGTGTTGGTTAACACTCGAGAAAGCAGCAGACATCTTAATGCTGTTTGCTGCCACTGATTCTCCCTTCCTTATATTCCTTCCTGTCAGAACGACACATGGCACATATTTACTCTATCCGTCCTATTTTATGTGGTAATATTTTTTTAATAATCCGTTTTTAAAATTGTTATATTTATATATTTAAAAATAAAATTTTAAATTTCTTTATTTATTTATCCTAATGAGGTGTTCTTATAGCCGTAGAAATATGATATGTTTAATACCACAAGTTCTAGAAATACTTTTGATATATATAAATTAAGAAATTTCTTTCTTTGTTAAATTCCGACTTTTAGATAAATACTGTTATATAAATTGAAACACATATGGTATTAAGTACCTTTGCGAATGAAGTACGATTTACATGCATGTTCTAGCATTGCGAGCGAGTGAAATGACATGCACTCACTAGAATTTAATTTGAGCCTTCAAATCGAGAGACCTTATGTTTAAGGACGCTTTACTTTTTTAATGAACTATCAGATACAAATTCAGATTAATTGGGCTAATAAACTTTAAACAACAAATGATTAAAGCCAAAATAAGTTTCTGAAAATAAGAAGGGTTCTTTTGGGCTCAACCGGCACGAAAATACTTTAAAATGCTATGATGTTGTCCGTTTTGAGTCAAGCTATTTCGCACAGTTTTTTCAAAAGGCCTCACGCTAGCAAGAGATTGTTATATCTTATACTATGTAGGTTCCTAATCTTTTCCGCTACCAATATTGTACTTTGTTCACAAACTCAATAATTTTTCCCTCGAACTAAGTTCTACGTGACCCATCACCATGATTCACATGTTAATTTTCAAGATTCACTGTGTGTCACCCACATCTTTAGAGTATTTATAGCCAGAGGCGGAGCCAGAATTTGAAGCTTATGGGTTCGGGATTCTAATCGTTTTAAGTTACTGGATTCTAAATTAATAATTTATATATATTCAATGATTTTTTTAAGACAAATACAAGGTTCGAACCAAAGTTATTGGGTTCGGCCGAACCCGCTGACGGCACTCTATCTCCGCCCTATTTATAGCAACCGAAATCCGCAACTAGCACGCTCAACCAGCCTGAAAATACTCTTAAAATGATATGATATTGTCCACTTTGTGCTAAGTTCCCACAAATTTTCCCAAAAGACTTCACACAATTAAAGAGATTTTTACACTTTATATGTAGGTTCCCAATGTTTTAAGCTAGGTGGGGCTTTATTTGTACACCCAACAAGTTCCCATTAGATATTGCAATAATCTTTTGCCTGCTGGCTTGTGTTTGGATGTTATCTGGAATTGTTGGCATTAATCACCTTTTGTTCTTTCTTTCTTAAAAATAAAGTTTTTTTTTTCTTTTTTTATCGTTCGGGTATAGAGTCTTGGATATAATAACAGTATATTATCCACAATTTTAGCATCAGTGTTAGGAATAGGAAATATTCTTCATTACTTTTAACCAGTTTATCAACGATATACCTTCAATACAACAATTCAAAGTGTGAATCACTCTAATACCTGCACACTATATTTACTTCAAATTTACCCCGTCTAAATTTAAACCTTTTGTTACACTTTATAGTTTATTTTGTTTAATTATTACAGATTCTTTTTCATGCTAAAACACGGCTACCGAATTAACAAAATAAGAAGTGATGTCAATTCAAGCACACTAATTAAACAGTTACGAATTATGTTTCATGTTTCATTAGAGTAGGCAGAATATACAAGGACATGCTTTACAACCACATACCCCAATAATAGTAAATGGGGCCAAGAGTGTATATAAGATGCCTTGTTATTACCAAATCTAACAAAGCATCCTTACTGAGGGAACATAAAAGTTGTACTTTTGCTTCCACAAAAGATGCATTTTCCATTCCTTATTTGTACACAACACAAGAATCTCAAAAGCTGAATGCCCATTTGTCTAAAATAATATTTTCAAATTCAAAAGGCTGTATTCCTCATTTTCTAATAACCAACGGACCCAAGGCATCAGAAATCTCATGCTTGTATTTAAGGTAATAAAAATATACGTTATAAAATACTAAGGTATGACCGAATTTAGGCTCCGAAAACCCGAATATGTCAAAGTAGTAAGTTTCATAAATAAGTAACAAAAAGAAAAAAGACAGTAGTAATTTTACCAACATTCTCCACATATTTCCAGTGCTATTAGTTCACATTTTTAATAAACAAAATCATATGTCAGATATTTCGCGAATTTAAATTAAACTAAAACTATCCATTTCGTTCCTTTTTATGTGGTACTATTATTATTTAGAGAATTAAAGAAAATTTTTGAAATATTTTGATTTATAAACTATCACTACTTATAGTACTTGTGTAGTTTCAATTTTTTTAACTATTATCATATATGAATTTATACAGAAAGATTAAGTACTTTAACCTTCGTACTTCGAATCGTTTCGCATAAAATGAAACAGTGGGATTAATAAACTCTATAGAATGGGTTTATGTTGCCCACTATCTACAGTCTCTAGTGGTTTATCTTTCCGTCATAAAATTACTCCATACGAACATTCGTATTTTCCGTATGTAGACAACCTTTAATTTGTGGCACGTTAAATTGTTCTCGAATCTTTGAACTTCACATCCAAGCCCTTCTTTCTCTCTCTAGAGTCCTATATATAATTTCCTCCCGCAAGTAACATTCTTCAAACCAGCTCGCAGATTTCTACTTCAATAATTAGATTACCCTAGCTAGCTCGCCAAAAAGAAGAAGAAACAAAAGGGTGAAGATGGCTTCTAGGGTTGTTGAACCACTTGTTGTTGCACGAGTGATAGGAGAAGTAGTAGACAGTTTCAACCCAAGTGTGAAACTGAATGTGATATACAACGGGAGCAAACAAGTATTTAATGGGCATGAACTCATGCCTGCTGTCATTGCTGCTAAACCTCGTGTCGAGATTGGTGGCGAAGACATGCGATCTGCTTACACCCTTGTAATTTTCTTTTATTAATTCTCCTTAACATACGTACTTACCTAGTACCATTGTCTTAATTATATTACTCTGATTCTGAGATTTTGTGTTGTTTTCTGAACTTTCAAGTATTTCTGATTATATATTGCCGTTCTTTTTCTTTTGGAAAGATCATGACCGACCCAGATGTTCCAGGTCCTAGTGATCCTTACTTGAGGGAACACCTCCACTGGTAATTATATTACGCTATCGTCGATTAAAGAACATGAAACCCACAATTGATTTGCATGACATTCATGTTAATTAATCATTTCTGTATTTGTTTTGATTTTGGATTTTCAGGATTGTTACAGATATTCCTGGTTCCACTGATTCCTCGTTCGGTAAGCAAATTGACTATTGCCTATTGGTTATCATGGTACCTGGGTTGAAAAGATAAGTTGTAGTTAAAGAGAGGAGACACTTTTATTTATTTAATTATATCGATAATATAATTCTTTTTTTCGTAATTCTTTTCATAGGTCAAGCACGTGAAAATTAATTTTTCGTATTGTGTTTCAGAACTTTTACCTGCTCTGCTATAATGTTAAAGTGGTTGACGTATCTTATTATCCAGAAACTGAATTATTAGAGAGACTACACTTTTTATTTACTTGAGTATATTAATTTCAAGAAATGTGACATTACAAATTCAATTAAACAGGAAGGGAAATAGTGAGCTACGAGAGCCCAAAGCCAGTGATTGGGATTCACCGATATGTGTTACTATTGTATAAACAAAGCGGAAGGCAAACAGTGAAACCAGCAGCAACAAGAGACCATTTCAACACTCGAAGGTATACGGCTGAGAATGGATTGGGAAGCCCAGTTGCCGCTGTCTACTTCAATGCCCAGAGAGAAACTGCTGCCAGAAGAAGATGAATTACTACATCATAATATAAACACGCAAATAATCACTTTTAGCTTAATTAGGCTGTTAATGAGCTGGAAGTAGTAACTCCTTTAATGTACTACTCTATCTGTCTATTAAAACACGTGATTTAAATAAGGTCTAAGTATATAGTACAACTTTGTACTTACCAGAAAAGTAGCTAGGTGAATTGATCAAGAATAGTGTCAATCTTCATGCATCATGCAGATTCTGAGCTTTCCCACCAATTAGGTTGCCCCTGTGTTTCATTTGTTTGTGAGTTCTACTTGTACTTTACTTCATATTAGTTGTTTGATGTATTAAATTGAGATAAAATGCATATATCAAATTCAGTATTGATGCTATAACTTATGTTTGGTTGTTATTTTAAGAGTTTAAGAGCACGTATTTTTTTAAGATCGCCTTAAGGTCCTTTATATATTGCTTATCTAGCTGACCATCTACTTATTATTCCGTTTGTTTCTAACAATTATTGTCATTTTAATTTTAAATCTATAATAAGGGACTTCAACTGGATTTTTCATATTTAGAAGAAAATTATATTGATTACTTTATCTTATGTCTCAGTAGACCATAATAAATTTATTGTCAAAAGTGTTAGTACTATTTATTAGTAGTAAAGATTGGTAACTAATTAGTTTTTATCACATATGATAAGAAACTAATTAACTTATGGTTCTTAACACAACTATATTCAATCAGTCGAGTATGAAGAACAAATATAGAATCACTCGCTAGCTATCCTTTGCTAACAAATATTAAACTGAATAATGAGGTTTTTGTAAGTCAATGATATGTTAATATTAAACAAATTTTAGATTATTCGCCCTATAAAACGATTTTATATATGATTAATCATATATGTTTGTTATTTCGCCTGGGTTGTGAGTCAATGGGGGTTGGCTCGACCCGTTAAAAAGAGAGAACTATTGGAAATATATAAGTACTATCTGCAAAAAGGTTATTGCACATGTATAAAATATAAAAAAGTGAAGTAGTTAATTTTTCCTTATAATTATTATTACTCCTCTTCAAAAAGATAAGACCCAAATGTTTTCTCTTAGACTTCTTTGAACAGCCAAATATTTTTTGTTTCTCCCTTAGACACACAAAGAAACTAATCAAAAAATTCAGTTCGTGAAGACTAGAACTTTGTTTACTAGAGAAATGAAAGATATTTAGGGTAACTATCTCGGTAGCAATGTAATGATTTTTATTGCGTGAAATATCGTTAGTATCTGAGCATGATTTGGATTACTCCAAGAGGCTTGACGGGCAATTTTTCTTTGTAATATCCGTTCTACAATACTTCCTGTTTGGCCAAGCTTCTCAAGAGAAAAAAATGCTTTTTTTTTCAAAATCACTTTTTTTTCTTAATTTGAGGTGTTTAGCCAAGCTTATTTGGGGGAAAAAAATGCTTTTGGGAAGAAACAGAAGCAGTTTCAGAGAAGCAGAAAAAAGTAGCTTCTTTCCAAAAGCAGAAGCAGAAGCAGTTTTGACTTTTCTTCTTACCTAAAATACCCTTAACAAAATATAGTATATACCAAAATAACCCTTAAACCTAATACTTAGGATATTAATTTGTAAATATTTCTTCTTATTTTTAGGAAAACTTTCTAATATATAGTAACTTTAGGGGTGAATGCTTTTATATTTGTTGAAGGAATTTTAATATATTTAACTTATATTAAAAGAATTAAGTACTTTTTAATTTTATTTTCATATTTTACTTAAATAAAATAAATAAAAATTAATTATTGCATGTAATAACAAAATTTTGATATTATTTATTTACTTATAATATTAATTATTAAGTAAATCTATTCATGTC